ATTTGGATGAAAAAATATAGATGGTCATAAATAATAATAAAAATAATTCTTCTTCTTCTTCTTCATTATCATCATCATCATCAATAATAAAAACAATAGTTTGCGTTTCTGGGGCGCTCTATCCAATACGAGTATGAGCGCTTTACACCAATTACATGATCACTGAGCGTAATACTTCAACCACCCACTTCCAGTGCTTTTTCTGTGATGCTATATCCCACTCAGCCTGGGCTGCAGCCCACCTCCTAAAAAATCTAATTGTGTCGATGGGGGTGAACACTGCTACAAACAGCCGTCTGATGGTCTTCAACATAAATCCATCGACATGGGAGAGCCCAGCTCCTGACAGACGCAGTAAGTTAGTTGGAGCGAAATCATATGAGGCTTCAAAAATAAGAAACACTGAAACCAAGAGAGAAGCCCATAAGCTACGCATTTCCACGAGTGGAAGTAAAGCTTTCGAATGTTCAAAACGTGTCAAACTTTTCTCTTCCAGAACTGGTCTCACTAGCCATATCAGATGTCACAAAACATCTCAACCTTTAATTTTTATATTTTGCTTTTAAAATATGTGCACGTATTCCCCCCGGCCAATGCGTTTGGTCATCGTGAAACATTGACGGACAAACTATTATTATGAAGATATTTTGCTATGCCATTTGACAAAACCCCATCTGCTGCTGCTGTTGCTATTACCTTTACCATATCATTAATGTCACTATCATTATTACTATCTCTTTTTTTACAAATACATGTACTGTTATTATTACCATCGTGTTTGTTTATTTGTTTGAGTAAAGAGAAACACATCGACACAATAATTGTCATATACGGTAGAAAAAAGTGAGATGGACAGACAACCTCATGCAAGTCTTACCTGTACTTCTCAAATTCCTCCGGAGCCACATTGTCCATGAGAGAGATGTGCAGAGAGCCCTGGATCACCGAACAGTTGGTCAGAGCCTCCAGGTTTTTCACGCCGTTCCGTATCTGCATGTCCGAGCACACTGCAGAGAGAGGGGTGGGAAACGATGTTTAGTTATATTTTCAGTAAGAGTTGTACGACACTTGCAACACAAACATATCACTTAAGTGTTGAAGTTCAGATGCGGTACTAGAGAGTAACATACATACAAAGAATAGGAGAAGACATAAAGACGATAGATGATAACTAGAAAAGAAAGGGCAAACCACATCAGGCTACCCGCCAACTACTCAAACTATAGGAGAGAGAGAGAGAGAGAGAGAGAGAGAGAGAGAGAGAGAGAGA